TGATCTCAAAGGTTGATAATTTCCAGAATCCTTTATGTTACTCAAAGTTTCACTATCATTTTTACTGCTTGCCCCTTCCTCCTCATACTTAACTTCTTGTGCAGATCTATTCCACTCCCAACAATATTCTGTTCATTGAATTTTTTGAAACTTAGCACTTAAAAGGTAAGGGGTTGATTCTCTGTAGATAGATTAGCAAAGGAACAATGGGATTAAGGTCTTTTTCTCAATTCCGTATGTTTATTTTATACCTTTTTTTGCTGTTAATAAGAGGCATGGGATCTATGCGGACACAAATTCACACGCTTGAAAACTATAAAACCAAGCACCTGTGATATCTTCTATATTTAAAAAAATGCCCAATAGTCTTAGAGAAACCTCTGGAAGAGCGTGGCATTATGAATGGATTACAGTGGTGCCTCAATTTACGAGCATCCTGACATATGGTCATTTTGAGTTATGACCAGCTCCAGCCGCAACATTTTGCTTCAACTTGCAGCTGACACTTCCAGTTACGAACAGAAAAAGGCAGGGAAAAAAGGTGGGGAATTCAAATTGCTAACCATTGGTGGTGAAGAGGCTGTAGCTCTTTCGCCCCAGCAGTTAGAGAGTATGTGATCAGAGGAGGCTTTGGACTGCCTGGTGAGGTAAGGTGCTGCTTTCTGCTTTTTAAAAACTATTCTGGATGGGTATTGCAACGTGGTTTTGGGCTGGGTGGTGGGATTATGTTTCTGTGCAGTGATGGGTCTTGCAAGGTTCGTTTGTTTTTTGGGGGGGTTCCCCCCATTTCTGTTGGGTCTTGTGGGGTTTGTTTGCTTTTTGCCGCCTACAGTGGTCTTATAGGCCAGATGGGCGGAGTATAAATCAAATAAATCAAATCAAATTAAAATTTGCATGGTTTGTTTGCATTCTGCTTTGCTTGTTTTGCATTTCCGATGGGTCTTGCATGGTTTGTTTGCTTTTCTCCCCCCCCCCCCGGCTGAAACGGATTAATCGCATTTCCCATGGGTCTTGCAGTTTTGTTTTGTTTTTCAGCCAGTACAGATTAATTGCTTTTCAATGCATTCCTATGGGAAATGGTGCTTCGACTTACGACCATTTTGAGTTACGACCGGAGTTCCGGAACCAATTAAATTCGTAATTCAAGGCACCACTGTAACGGAAACAAAACCTCCTACATCTTCTTTGATGTCTGGTGCCCAGAGTGGTGTGAAGTTGTTGTGAATGCTTATTCATTCATTCATGACTGTGTGTGTTCTATTGTCATGTATTTATACTCTTACAAGATTGTTTTTGCTTTCTCTTTCTTTTTTCTTTTTTACTAACTTTACTTTTTCAACAGTAGGAAATTGCTGCGTGTTCTATCCTAATACAAATATTTCCTTTTCAATTTCCTTAAGTTGGCAACCTTTTGTTTACATAACACCTTTGTTATGACTATCTTTTCTGTTATCCTAAGTGGAAATTCCCATCTCAGGTATTTCTTATACAGGAATTTCTGACTAATGTTTTATAGTCAGGAAAAACCTAAAGCCTTGTTAAATGCAGTTGTCTTCTGCTGTTAAAGTGAGGACTTTTATTAATCATGAAAAACTGCTTACACAAATGCATTACTGATAACTACATTCAGAGAAGAATGCATTTTTAACAGTGATTATTTAACCTTTCCACTTTGTAAGCATTGAAATATTTATTTCATCAGATACTATATTCTGGCCCAGTTGTACTAGGAGAAAAACAGGTTATAAATAAAAGAAAATAAATTTAGAGGAATTGATAAAGGGTACCTCAAAAGGAGGAGGAGATAGTGGTTTAGTTTCAAAAAATCTAAGCTGCTACCTAGATATTAAAAGTGAGATTAAGTTTGAATACCAACATCTATCTCATCATAGATATTTTGAGTATGAATGGGTAGCTTTGATTAATTATATTGGCTGAAATCCTGTTGTTAAGTGTAGTAAGTCACATTAAATTAGGCCATTGAATCAGTAGGGATTTAATGAGTCAGCTTCTTCATTTGGAAGTGGGTCCTGGAAAATCTTAACAGCGTTATGCTTAGTTTGGTTCTCCGTCAATATAATTCTCCTTAATGACAGGTTCTATAAACAAGTAGTATGTGAAATACATAATATATCTGACTGATGTTCATTGGCATTGAAAAGATAAAGCAGACTGTTAATTCACTTTAAAATAAAACTGGTGTTATGAATGGTGATGGATTTTCTGACAACTGTTCATTGCAACTTGAATCACTTAACCACATTGTTAAGCAGGAGTTCATTTCCCTTCAGTATAGTTTATGACCACTGTACAATTAAACTAATAGTAATGCGTATTGAAGTAGAGTTTAAATTTTAAATACTTGGTGTGACTAAAATACTGTGTTCTTTGAACAGGTTTAAAGCTTTAAATTGATATTGCCATTAGTCTGTTATGGTTACCGTGTATTGTGACATCAATTTTAGTCAAGTGTTAAACTTTAAAATGAAATTCAGTGATCTGCCATCTTTCTGATTGAGATGTTAACACAGTTTGAATTGAATTTATGAGGCCTTCAATTTAAAAAAATTGATTTTATTTCTAGGCAAAGTTCTTAAGCTTAAATTAATTGAAAAAGATTATTAAAACATAAATATTTTTGTCAGTCTCCTTGAAAGTCTTTATAAAAGTGCATTATGCATAATGTGTATGAAAAGAAAAAGTACATTGCTGCAATAAGTATATTTTGAAAATGACACTGATAATACAGATGTGCTTGTCAGAGTCAGGATCAGCTTTAACTTGGAGCCTAAAGTTCTGTGTTCAACAAGTCAGGTGTCATTAAATCAAAGAATTAGTAAGCATTGGCCAAAATCAAGTTTGTGCAACCTAAAATTAAGCAGGTGTAACTTGGTCAGGCATTGTGTCCTGACAATGCAGACTGTGCGATTTGATTGTGCAGTCCATCGTACTTTTCTCATTGTTACTGATGGCACAATGTCGTGGTGGAAGTGCTTCATTGATAGCACTTCTGACTTAATGCTATTGTAGCTACTGCAGGTATAACACTGAATTATTTCTATAGCTGTATTATAGGATTTCAGCCACGTTCTTCATTTTTCCAGTCTAGTAGCTTGAGGAATCAAGCACACAGCAAGCATTAATATATATGTCTTGATTTTATATGACCCTTGTTTTGTCATAATTACTGCCAAATCCGTTTAATATCAGTAGTAAGACTTTCAGAATCCATTATACTACTCTTGCTCATTTCTGAATTGCTGGTGTTGCACATGTATTTTAACTCTGGAATAAATATTACTAATGGTTTCACTCAAAGTGATTTTAAAAAAAGGAACGTGTGAACGAGAACGTATGTATAAGGGTATTGTCATGGTGGAGGCTTGGTGTAGAATCTCCCTTCAGTTTTTGGAGGAAATGATTACATTTGGGGTTATAGATCACAAATGTTTGTATCCTGTTTGCTTTATGCACCCATGAATTAGCTGACTTTTTAAGACAGCATCTAAGAAACTTTATCAAGGTTTTTCGCGAAGGCTTTCACGGCCGGGATCTAATGGTTGTTGTGGACAACACTCTGTCCTCTGAACAGAGCACATAGTGCTGTCCTCTGAAGATGCCGGCCACAGAGACTGGCAAAACGTTAGGAACACGACAAAGAGTCTGAAAAACAACCATTTTATCAAGGTTTACTTAGAGATGATCTCAGACAGTTCTCTGTTCTCTTGTACTTACTCTTGGTCCTCCCATCTAGCTGTCAAGCATTTTTTGAAAGGAATAACACCTTCCCTTTGTCTCTTCTCATCATTCTCTCCTGTAAGGAGGAAGCCTCTGTTGTCCCCAGTGGGCCATCTGTCTTGTTTCTGTGCACTCCAGAAGATTCTCTGGAGATTCTGGCAGAAGAACATCTTAGAGATGTGAACAGTAGGATAGGGTGTCCAGTGGGAGTGAGGAGGTGGCGTATAAGCCATAGCTGAAGGGTTGAGGCTGCAGCTGAAGCAGGGTGGCACGAGCCAGAGGTAAAGGCAGAGGAGGAGGGAGGGGATTATATTATTGACTTGACGGCTGATAGGAAGCCTGAGAAGGATCACTCCCTGTCTTTTGTACCCTAAGGTAGAACTAGCCACTGTTTCTCCAACATGCCCAGATGGAAGATGGGTCAGCTTTGCTGCTTGATGAGCCGTGGCAGGGGAGCACCAATCTTCCCCTTGATATGGACCTGCTATGTGGCTAAATAGTTGTATCACATTTATGATTTATTAGAAAATCAAGCATTATTTACTATAAGAGTGTTCAGTATAAACTGGAATTTCTGTACTTAAATGAGTACTAATTAGTTCACTAGTTATCAGTATGGTTTCCTTGAAAAGTGGCATTGAAATATAACCAATGTACTTCTTAGTGGTCTCTGTGACTCACTCATATGAGCACAGAGACCCATATGTATGAGTTCACAGATGACCCGTCCAAGAACAAAGTTACTCATGGCAACCTGTCATTCTTCTTCATGGTCTTTGTAACTAAAGCATATGAGTTTCTGTGCCCAGATGTGTGCGTGCATAAATGATTACTTGAAAAACTAGTTATTTATGGCAACCTGTTGTAGAAGCTATTGTTTAATCTTAGTGATAGGAGACCTATTAGTGTTTACAAAAGATTTAGGTAATTCATTTTGGCTAATTGTGGTTATTTGATGAGGTGCTGGACACTTTTCGGTAAGGTTTGCAGTAATAGGTGTCTAACCAGGCACACAATGAGACATGGGCCAACTCCTTGTTAGTTAGCTGCAATTAGCTACGTCAAGTTGCGCAAACCTTATGCGAAGACCAGTAAGATTTGGGCTGGTAATAGAATAGTACAGTATGTCGAAGTATGATTTTTTTTCCATGAAAATTTCACATTCATCTAATGTCCTTAATGAAACTAATGTATGTTGAAGTATGATTTTTTTCCATGAAAATTTCACATTCATCTAATGTCCTTAATGAAACTAATGCCAGATTTGGTCGTCCAGGAGTTGAATGCTACTGCCAACATGATAGTGGTGCTGCAGTAATTCAGCTTCAGTTTCTGATCAATGAGGTTGGTAAATTTACATACTTTTTTTAAATCAAGTGTCTTATCTATATCTTATAGAAACATTGTTAAAGAATGCTCAGATAAGTAGTCACGGAACCCTGGTACCTCTTTTCTTAATACATAGAAATGGTGCATAATTTTACAGTTTACAGTAAGCAAAAGGACCTTGCTCAGTGAAAATGGTTTTGATTAAATTAAATTGGGGACAGAGGTTTATAGGATGATCTCTTGCTTTCAAAATCTGATCATCTTTATTATATTCTAATGGCTACATTCAGATGCAATGCTAAACCGTTTTTCTGATGAAGAGGCACAGTAGCATTGGCTTTACATTGTTCCTGCTGCTCTTCTATACGCAAGCAAAGGAAGCAGAGATTTTTCATCCCTGATTTGTTTCAAGGTTTAGTTTGTTGTTTTATCTCAAACCAATTTTGAGATCCTGATTTGCAGTCTATTATTAAATATAAACAACTTCAGATATGCAGATGATACAACTCTGATGGCAGAAAGTGAGGAGGAATTAAAAAACCTCTTAATGAGGGTGAAAGGAGAGTGCAAAAAATGGTCTGAAGCTCAACATAAAAAAACAACTAAGATCATGGCCACTGGCCCCATTGCCTCTTGGCAAATAGAAGGGGGAAGATATGGAGGCAGTGACAGATTTTACTTTCTTGGGCTCCATGATCACTGCGGATGGTGACAGCGGCCATGAGATCAAAAGACGCCTGCTTCTTGGGAGGAAAGCGATGACAAACCACGACAGCATCTTAAAAAGCAGAGACATCACCTTGCCGACAAAGGTCCGCATAGTCAAAGCTATGGTTTTTCCAGTAGTGAAGTATGGAGGTGAGAGCTGGACCATAAAGAAGGATGACTGCAGAATAATGTATGCTTTTGAATTGTAGTCCTGGAGGAGACTCTTGAGAATCCCCTGGACTGCAAGGAGATCAAACTTATCCATTCTGAAGGAAATCAACCCTGAGTGATCACTAGAAGGACAGACCCTGAAACTGAGGCTCCAATACTTTGGCCATCTCATGAGAAAAAAAAATCTCCCTGGAAAAGACCCTGATGTTGGAAAGGAGTGAAGGCAAAAGGAGAAGGGGATGACAGAGGACAAGATGATTGGACAGTGTCATCGAAGCTACCAACATGAATTTGACCCAACTCCGGGAGGCAGTGGAAGATAGGAGGGCCTGGCGTGCTCTGGCCCATGGGATCATGAAGAGTCGGACACGACTTAACAACTAAACAACAACATGTATTGATAGAATTGACATAGCAGATAAATATTTTTTTTAATCACTATCCTTGTGAGGTAGTGGTTAAACTGCATTACTGCAGTCAAAACTCTGCTCACAACCTGAATTTGATCCTGATGGGCTCAGGTATCAGGTTCAAGCCTGACTCAGCTTTCCATCCTGAGGTCAGTAAATTAAGTACCTAGATCATAGTGGGGGGTAGTGTATAGCCTGTATAATTAAATTGTAAACTGCCCATAGAGTGCTTTAAGCACTATGGCGCAATATATAAGCAGCACACTTTGCTTTATCTTTAATGGAAATGATTGTTAGGGTCTATGTACAAACCTGAACAAGTACATGCAAAACAATGTAAATTATTTTGAGCAGGACTTACAATCTGTGTGAAACTATTTTTCATCCTAAAAATCTTGGAAGTAGGTAATATCTCCAACACCCATTGACAAAACATTGTTTTCTTTTTCTTAAGGGAGCCCTTGTGAGTGCCTTGGCTGATGATACCCTACACTTATGGAACTTGCGTCAGAAGAGGCCTGCTATACTTCATTCTTTAAAATTTAACAGAGAAAGGTAAGAATTGGTTACTGTTTCCATGTCAAGCACTGTTAATCAACATCAACAATATAGTTGTAGAAGAGTAGATGTGATGCTTTGAGGGAACTTTTTCAGGACAGCCTCCGCTCAGAATCTCTTATACCTCAATTTCCTGGTTCATACATTTACAACCCAACCAGAATATCACTTCCTTGCACAGAATGGGTGATGGGAAACAGCACTGAGAAGGGAGACAATGATAGGGTAAAGATTAGACACCTTTCAGTCTTGAGAGACTATGGTAACGTGCTCTGTATGGAGGACTTGGAACATCATCTAGTGTGGCTGAGAAGGCCAATTCGAGAGTGACAATCCCTTCCACACTGAAGACAAATACAATCTGTCCCTTGTCAAGCTCCCACATTTTGCTGCTTTTGTGACTGCCTCTTTGCCTCGGCCTGCTGGACAAGTGTCTCTTCAAAATGCGAGAGATCATGATGCACTGCCTGCCTCCAGGCTGAATGCTTAGATGTCAAGTTTCCCATCTGTTGAGGTCTGTTTCTAAGGCCTTCAAATCCCTTTTGCAGATATCCTTGTATCGCAGCTGTGGTCTCCCTCTGGGGCAATTTCCCTGCACTAATTCTCCATACAGGAGATCTTTTGGAATCCGACCATCAGCCATTCTCACAACATGCCTGAGCCAACGTAGACGTCGCTGTTTCAGTAATGTATATATGCTAAAACTTCCACCTCGTTCTAGGACTACTCTATTTGGAACTTTATCCTGCCACGTGATACAAAAAATGCATCAGAGGCAACGCATATGGACCATGTTCAGCTTCCTCTCCTGCCATGCACAAAGGGACTCACTGCAGTACATGAGTGTGCTCAGGACACAGGCTGTATAGACCTGGATCTTGGTATATGTCGTCAAGTTCTTATTGAGCCATACTCTCTTTGCAAGTCTAGAGAACATGGTAGCTGCTTTGCCAATGTGTTTATTCAGCTCGACATCTAGGGGGAGAGAGTGTCAGAGATCGTTAAGCCAAGGTACACAAATTCATGAACAACCTCCAGTTCTTGCGTGGAGATGGTAATAGAGGGAGGTGAGTCCACACCCTTGCCCATGACTTGTGTTTTCTTCAGGCTGATTTTAATCCAAAGTCTTGGCAGGCCTTGCTAAAACGATTAATGAGTTGTTGGAAGTCTTCAGCAGAATGGTGACAACAGCTGTGTCATCGGCGAAGAGGAAATCCCACATGCATTTCAGCTGGACTTTGGTCTTTGCTCTCAATCTAGAGAGATTAAAGAGCTTTCCGTCTGATCTAGTCCAGAGATAGGCCCCTTCTGTTGCAGTTCCAAAGGCATGCTTCAGCATGACAGCGAAAAAGATCCCAAAAAACGGTTGGTGTGAGGACACAGCCATGTTTCACTCTGCTTCGGATGTCAAAGGGATCTGATGTTGAGCCATCAAAAA